CTTATATAATTATTTAGATTCATATGAGAGGCTTACCCTATTTTGGTTGTACGACAGCCTCAAGGCCAGTTTGTACAACCTATATTATAAGGCCCTGTAATAACAAGTAAATAATTTAGCAAACCGGTAACGAGGAACTCCCGTAATGATGAGGTTGCAGCAGTAGATGAACGACAAAATGGCTCGTTTTGAGAGTATTAACGATACTACTTAAGGTGTGTCCTCACAGGAACGTATATAAATTGCCCGAAATTTAAATCTGCCCGTATATAAATCTGCCCGAAACGCTTTGCGTAATAGTGGCTTTAGGCATTGTATGTACTAGCTCCTATCTATAAAGCCAACAAACTTTGTAAAATCTCTTTATGTATGTACCTTTGCCTAAATAAAAATTATTATTATTATTAATTATTATTATTATTATTATTATTATAAATTCACAGTGGCGTCCTCCATCCTACACCGGTCTAGTGACGCCATTTGAAACCGGCTAAATGTTCGTCCCATTTATGGAGAAAGGCGTTGATTTGATTTATTATTTTATTTTATTCATTCATAGAGAATATGTTTTTTTATTCTAACGCTAGACTAGTGTTTTATTCTAACGCTAGCCTAGTGTTTTATTCTAACGCTAGACTAGTGTTTTATTCTAACGCTAGCCTAGTGTTTTATTCTAACGCTAGACTAGTGTTTTATTCTAACGCTAGACTAGTATTTTATTCTAACGCTAGCCTAGTGTTTTATTCTAACGCTAGCCTAGTGTTTTATTCTAACGCTAGACTAGTGTTTTATTCTAACGCTAGACTAGTGTTTTATTCTAACGCTAGACTAGTATTTTATTCTAACGCTAGCCTAGTGTTTTATTCTAACGCTAGCCTAGTGTTTTATTCTAACGCTAGACTAGTGTTTTATTCTAACGCTAGACTAGTGTTTTATTCTAACGCTAGCCTAGTGTTTTATTCTAACGCTAGACTAGTGTTTTATTCTAACGCTAGACTAGTGTTTTATTCTAACGCTAGACTAGTATTTTATTCTAACGCTAGACTAGTGTTTTATTCTAACGCTAGACTAGTATTTTATTCTAACGCTAGCCTAGTGTTTTATTCTAACGCTAGCCTAGTGTTTTATTCTAACGCTAGACTAGTGTTTTATTCTAACGCTAGACTAGTGTTTTATTCTAACGCTAGCCTAGTGTTTTATTCTAACGCTAGACTAGTGTTTTATTCTAACGCTAGACTAGTGTTTTATTCTAACGCTAGCCTAGTGTTTTATTCTAACGCTAGCCTAGTGTTTTATTCTAACGCTAGACTAGTGTTTTATTCTAACGCTAGCCTAGTGTTTTATTCTAACGCTAGACTAGTGTTTTAAATGATTATTGATATTTTAATAGAACATTTTCTGGTGGCGTGGCAATCATTTCTTGGTTTTTCTCCGATAACATGACACAAGTCTAATATTATTGGCATGGGTAAATAAAATAATTTGTGTTAGTATGGGTTAATTTGTTAGTACAAGAACAACAACAGCTGCATTTTGTATTAAACATTATTAAAGGATGTCTTTTTTTTTTCCAACAAGTCTCCTACAAAGAACGTCGCATTTCGATCGTGTGCATTACAAAATGCCAAAAGTTGTCGTAATAGAACTGGTGTACAAACTAGCAGACTTACCAGCACCCAAAATGGACCCTACACAGACTGGTCAGAAACTTCCTGAAGAACAGACAAGTCACCCCTCTACTTCATGACGAAAACGGCAGCAGTTTTCTCTCCAACAGCTGGGGCCAGATTCACGATGCCAGTTACGCAAGTACTTATTTATTTATTTATTTATTTATTTATTTATATATATACAAGAAGGTACATTGGGTTTGTGAGAATACATTGGATAGTACAGTAATTACACTCTTGTAAAGCCACTAGTACGCGCAGCGTTTCGGGCAGGTCCTTAATCTAGCAGATAATTTTAAGTAGGTAATTTCAATCAGAATTAATAAATGATAAAGATACATTACAAGAGAAAAATGAGATAAGAGAGATAAGTAGGTATAATAAAGCACATTGTTATATTAAAGCTCTGATTGATTACATTGACAGCTTGATTAGTAATTTAAACAAGGTTAATAGACACCATACAGCAGATTGACAGCACATATAAGACAGCAATGATCACAATGGTAAAGATGTTCAAATTGGGAACATAAAGGTTGGGAGATTGGGTAGCAATTGATACAGTGCAATTTTAAGGCAAAAAGTGAAAAACTATGAAGATGAAATTAGGCACTTTTTAGTATTGATTTTGAATGATGTAAAAGTTGGACAGCTTTTCAATTCAGTAGGGAGTGAGTTCCATAAACTGGGTCCCTTTATTTGCATAGAGTGTTTACTCAGATTAAGTTTAACTCTGGGGATATCAAAGAGATATTTATTTCTGGTGTGGTGATAATGGGTCCTATTACATCTGTCCAAGAAGAGTTTCAGACAAGGATTTGCATTTAAGAACAGGGTTTTGTAAATGTAGTTGACACAAGAGAATTTGTGGAGTGATATTATGTTTAGCATGTTTAGGGAGTTAAACAAGGGGGCTGTGTGTTGTCTGAAAGCAGAATTTGATATTATTCTGATAGCAGATTTTTGCTTTGTGATGATGGACTTGAGGTGGTTTGCAGTGGTTGAACCCCATGCACAGATACCATAGTTGAGATAGGGATAGATTAGTGCATAATATAGAGAGATGAGAGCAGAGTTAGGAACATAATATCTGATTTTGGAGAGTATACCAACTGTTTTAGAGACTTTCTTAGTTATGTGTTGTATGTGGGTACTGAAGTTGAGTCTCTTGTCTAGGAATATGCCAAGAAACTTTCCATCATTTTTATTGCTAATGTTTACATTGTCAATCTGAAGCTCAATTGCATTTGTAGATTTGCTTCCGAATAGGATGTAGTAGGTCTTTTCTATGTTAAGTGTTAGTTTGTTGGTTGACATCCATAAGTGGACTTTTTTAGTTCATTATTAACAACACCATTAAGTGTATGTGGGTTGGGGTTGGAGTAGATGAGGGTAGTATCATCAGCAAACAAAATAGGTTTCAGAATGTTAGAGACATTAGGCAGCAGCACTTACGAACGTGTACATCTTTCCTCAATATGTGACGGCTTTGGTTATATTTATTAAACACTTTGCAAGCATGAAAACTTTCCAATCAACTGTTTTAATTGTTATAAACAGCCTCCTGGTGCTTTGGAGCTCATTATTTGTTTAATAATTTTAAACAAAGCCGCCAAAGGCTGAGAAAAGATGAACAGGTTTGTAAGTGCTTGCGTAACTGCTTCGTGAATCTTGCCCCAGGAGTCCCTAAAGGGACGTGTCTGAACCCGGTGCTCTTCAACAGATTCGTAAATGACCTGCCCCAACCCGGAATACAGGGATACCATCATCGTCCAATTCGCAGACGAGTAACCCACGTAATAAACTCTAACCCAGGTATCCAAGCAACCAAACACGCTACGATCACACGAAAAGCGAATGTAGAACTCGCCTGGACTGCGAACTGGGAAAGGAAATGGAGTATCAACACTAACCCAGACGAGATCTAGATGAGCACAGTCAGCTGTATGGCCTACACAATCGAAAATGAAGGTGGGGTACGGATCACGGATGAACCCATAGCCATCTCAAGTTCCAACACAGTGCTCGTGTACAACTTCAACAGACTACTCAACTCCAAGGCCGCGCCTCGAGTATCCTTACATCCCCCGGAACCTCTCCAACAAGACCAACACACTGAACATCCAACGGGACCAAAAAAGAAAACACTCCGCTCTGCGACGGCTTGTCGCTGACGGACAGGGTAAGGATAGACCAGATCCATAGAGCTCTCAAGATGATGCCAATAAATACCAGGCTCAGCTACTTGGCAAGAAAGCAGCTATACTGCATGAAACACCTGTACGTCCCAGAAAATGAGGAATCCCACGAAGCAATCAACGCAGCCAGAGACTATGAGATCCAGGAGCGGCCGCACAGAGCCAAAAGAATCACTTCGATAACAAGTGATCAGACACATCCACGACCAGACCTTCCCGAGACCTCAAATACTGAGCGGACTGCCAGAAGACCCCAGATAAGTTATTTATTTAATATAAATATGAATCATCTGTCCATCTGACCTCATCCCACCGGGATAATTCTACTCATCCCGGACCCGATTTATTACAAAAAATAATAAAACCAACAATAAAAACCTTTTTGTTTTGCAAGCAGTGCAGAACTTAGCCTGATGTTGCTAAGGTCAGCCTCCTGAAGCCACCACCACCACCGGCTCAAGGAAACCAGACACCCACACTAGCCACTCCAGCCAATGCGTCGACAACACTAGAAAACACATAGCCAAACTAACTCACACAAACCAAACAAACGACCCACACCTCATGCCAACCCATGGTGGATAGGCCACCGAACTTTCAAGCCTCCTCTCTCCCCACCCAAATCCTCTTCCAGAATTTCACCTCCCCATCCTTTCCAAGCCTTTTGGACATCAACTCGGAAATCGGCTCGTGAAAGTGATTTCTGATTACAGTCTCTTACAGTCTACAGATTACAGTTTCTGATGATTACAGTCTCCGTGGTGTAGTGGTAAGACACTCGCCTGGCGTTCCGCGAGCGCTATGTCATGGGTTCGTATCCTGGCCGGGGAGGATTTACTGGGCGCAATTCCTTAACTGTAGCCTCTGTTTAACTCAATAGTAAAATGTGTACTTGGATGAAAAACGATTCTTCGCGGCGGGGATCGTATTCCAGGGACCTGCCCGAAACGCTACGCGTACTAGTGGCTCTACAAGAATGGAACAACTCTTGTATATATCTCAAAAAAAAAAAAACATTACTGTCCCGTTGTCTGTTTAGGGTCCTCTGGCTAAGTCTGTTGTGTTAGGAGAGGGTACTTTAATTTGACTGTTTTCTTGACGTTAGGAACCTTAGGAGGACGGGTTGGCTCACCTGGGTAGTCGTCCGGGGTAACGTTGACGAAGAGGGACAGACCCAGACTCTCGCCCATAACGATCTGGTTGTGGTCGGCGGCGGCGTAATAGGTGATGCACTTGCCCATATTGGTGGGCATGGATACGAACAGCAGGCAGCAGGCAGTAGTGTCCAAAGTGAGGGTGCCCACTACACACCGCAGTACCAGCTCCTCACACCTGCCATGAGGCCAAGAGGAAGATACTGTTACGATGAGGCAAGTCATCACGGCTCTATTTATTCCTCATGACAAATGCCCATTGATGTCGATACAACTGATTACACTAATTTATGTTATGTAATTTATGTTAATATATGATAAGGCATCAATAATGCGTTATTCCTGTAAAAGTGTTATTTTAAAAACAAAAAAGATGGGACTTGACAGTTCTGACTTAAAAAGATGGGACTTGACAGTTCTGACTTAACATCACGATCCACACGTCAGGTCCTGAATCAAAAAGGAAGTGTGATTGCGTCTTGAAATATGTCTGAACGCCAAATATCAACCTGATGGGCTGGAAGCGTTTAATCTATATTGGGATATTGTAAGTTGACCCCACACTAAATTTATCTGATGACCCAGTACCCAGATTGTGACTTCAAATATTGTATGAGTTCATTTATTTATAATGCATTACACAGCCATCCTGTAGTCGGTAGTGGACCCCACATCCATCCTGTCGGCGATAGTGGACCCCACACCCATCCTGTAGGCGATAGTGGACCCCACACCCATCCTGTGGGCGGTAGTGGACTCCACGCCCATCCTGTAGGCGATAGTGGACCTCACACCCATCCTGCGGGCTGTAGTGGACCCTACACCCATTCTGTGGGCGGTAGTGGACCCCACACCCATCCTGTGGGTGGTAATGGACCCCACATCCATCCTGTGGCCGATAGTGGACCCCCACACCCATCCTGTGGGTGTTAGTGGACCCCACACCTATCCTGTGGCCGATAGTGGACCCCACATCCATCCTGTGGGTGGTAGTGAACCCCACATCCATCCTGTGGGTGGTAGTGAACCACACAAACCTCCTTACCTGGATCTTACCTACAGATGATCTCGGGAGTTCTTCTACTACCTTGCTCGGCCTGAGGCTAGGCTCGACTAGTGATAACTTGGTCCAACAAGCTGTTGCTTGCAGCTGCCCGCAGGTCCACATATTCACTACAGCCCGGTGGGTCCGGTACTTATTACAAGAACTTATCTAATTGGATCTTGAAGAAGTCCACTTTTGTTTCGGCAATATATCTAATACTTGCTGGGAGGGTGGACCTCTGATGCTCACACAACAGCTGTGGACCTCTGGTGTTCACACAACAGCTGTGGACCTCTGGTGTTCACACAACAGCTGTGGACCTCTGATGTTCACACAACAGCTGTGGACCTCTGATGTTCACACAACAGCTGTGGACCTCTGGTGTTCACACAACAGCTGTGGACCTCTGATGTTCACACAACAGCTGTGGACCTCTGGTGTTCACACAACAGCTGTGGACCTCTGATGTTCACACAACAGCTGTGGGCCTCTGATGTTCATACAACAGCTGTGGACCTCTGATGTTCACACAACAGCTGTGGACCTCTGGTGTTCATACAACAGCTGTGGACCTCTGATGTTCACACAACAGCTGTGGACCTCTGATGTTCACACAACAGCTGTGGACCTCTGATGTTCACACAACAGCTGTGGACCTCTGATGTTCACACAACAGCTGTGGACCTCTGGTGTTCACACAACAGCTGTGGACCTCTGATGTTCATACAACAGCTGTGGACCTCTGGTGTTCACACAACAGCTGTGGACCTCTGATGTTCACACAACAGGTGTAGACCTCTGATACTCACACAACAGGTGTGGACCTCTGATGTTCACACAACAGCTGTGGACCTCTGATGTTCACACAACAGGTGTAGACCTCTGATACTCACACAACAGGTGTGGACCTCTGATGTTCATACAACACCTGTGGACCTCTGTCTTGTGCTCTCGCACAAGACAGCACATATATGACTTATTGCTTATAGTCACTATTTCGCCTATAAATAAGTATATATATGTGACATTCCAAGCCATATTTTTTCTCAAGGCACTAACTTTTTTTCTCAGTTTTATTAAACAATAGAGATTTTATACAAAATTTGACAATATCCTGAGTTACTTTACAATTTATTTAAATATTTTAGTTTATTATTTTTATAAAACTGTAAAATCATTATAAGTATAGGTACAGTACTAATTGTAATATCTTAACATACTAAGAAGGTTAGATTAGGTTGTGGTTTTCTATTCAGCTTTTCAAAGTAAACTCAAATATTCACAATAAATTAGTATGTCACATATGCACTTATTCATTAACAAGATATTGGCTAAAAGCAAGTGCGAGAACGGGTTGCGGGTTTTTTGGGGTGCTCCTGGTGTGCCCTCAGACGTGGTGGGTGGCTGGCTTCTGGTCTGCCGGGGGTGCTCCTGGTGTGCCCTCAGACGTGGTGGGCGGCTGGCTCCTGGTCTGCCGGGGGTGCTCCTGGTGTGCCCTCAGACGTGGTGGGCGGCTGGCTTCTGGTCTGCCGGGGGTGTTCCTGGTGTGCCCTCAGACGTGGAGGGCGGCTGGCTTCTGGTCTGCCGGGGGACACTGGATGACTTTTGCGTTTTAGTTGGAGGCCGAGATTTTGGTTTTGCTCCCCTGTGTTCTCTGTGTGGGGCGGGGCCGGTGCACGTCACCCTGAGGGACTCCTGGGGCGGGGCCGGTGCACGTCACCCTGAGGGACTCCCAGGGCGGGGCCGGTGCTCGTCACCCTGAGGGACTCCTGGGGCGGGGCCGGTGCACGTCACCCTGAGGGACTCCTGGGGCGGGGCCGGTGCACGTCACCCTGAGGGACTCCCGGGGCGGGGCCGGTGCTCGTCACCCTGAGGGACTCCTGGGGCGGGGCCGGTGCACGTCACCCTGAGGGACTCCTGGGGCGGGGCCGGTGCACGTCACCCTGAGGGACTCCTGGGGCGGGGCCGGTGCACGTCACCCTGAGGGACTCCTGGGGCGGGGCCGGTGCTCGTCACCCTGAGGGACTCCTGGGGCTCCCCAATCATCTGCCTGTCTGTGTTTGTTGGCCGCATGGCATAATAGTTTCCAGTGATTGGCGTCACTAATTTCGCGATTAGGCTTGGTGTTTCAACTTTCCGGGCTTCGCAATTAACCCTTAACGGGTACGCCAGGGAGCATCCGATCCCATGATCGTCGTTGTTCCTAAATCAACAACACACCACAGTCAAGGAGTCCTGATTCAACCTTGACGACGAGCGGACGTCTGGACATCACCTCCGCCTGTGAGCTGCCTGACTACGTTCTGTTTTCGCGTTTTGGCTTTGCAACTGCCGTTTAGCGTGCCTAATCAACGGTCCGGTTGTACGACGTCTGGCGCCTTGGGTCACGGGATTGTTGATAGATTTTGTTGTTGTTGTTGTTGACGTGTTTCTGGCTGGTTCTCTCAGCGGGGTGATGGTATCCGGCGCCGGCTTGGCCAAGAGGTGCTGGGAGTTGGTGGGTCTTGGTGAGCTCCTGGTGTGCCCTCAGTCGTGGTGGGCGACTGGCTTCTGCTCTGCCTGAGAGCTCTGGATGACTTTTGCGTTTTAGTTGGGAGCCGAGTTTTTCGTTTTGTTACCAGTGTTCTCTGTGTGTGGGGCGAGGCTGGTGCTCGCCACCCTGAGGGACTCCTGGGGCTCCCCAATCATCTGCCTGTCTGCGTTTCTTTGCTGCCAGGCATATTAGTTTCCAGTGATTGGCATCATTCGTTTCGCGATTCTGTTTGGCGTTTAACCCTTTCCAGGCTTCGCGATTAACCCTACATGGGTACGCCGGGGCGCATCCAATCCCACGATCATTGTTGCCCCTAAATCAACAACACACCACAGTCGGACTCCTAGTTCAACTTTGACGACAAGTGGACGTCTGGACACCTAGGGCCAGATTCACGAAGCAGTTACGTATGTACTTACGAACGTTTTTCTTCTTAGCATCTTCCTAGAGGCTACATCGGTATTCAGGTAGGCATTTATGTATGAAAATCTTCGTAAGTAAACACCGTCAGCTAAGAGTGGTCTCGACCACTCGCAGTTTTACATAAACTGTATATAACTCAATTTTTCTCTACTACACAACACGGAGGATTGATTTTATTATAATCAAACATTTTAACTAGCTAGTCTCATCAAGAAGAGTCCTTCGTGTTAGCTATATATGAATTTTCTGCTTGAAACTTGTAGTAAATATGTCTTTAAGTATATGTCTGTAGTAAATATGCCCGAAACGCTTTGCGTAATAGTGGCTTTAGGCATTGTATGTACTAGCTCTACCTATAAGTTAAACAATCCTTGTAAATATTTATTGTATGTATGTACCTTACCTAAATAAAATTGTATTGTATTGTATTGTATTGTATTTAATGATATTAGAATTAGTTTTATAATAGCAAGATATTATACCAGTAATTATTAAGCAAATAAACACTGATGAACATGAAATATGAGAGGTGATGATCCCGGGCTGGTGGGAGCATTTACTATCACCAAATGCCTCTGTTCACCTAGCAATAACTATAGCTAGGGGGTGTACCTTAGCTATACATACCCATTTTTTAACTTATTTTGTTTAGTTTTATTTTGAAATTAAATCTGGGTGAGACATAAAAGAAAAATATGCTGCACAAATGATGTTAGGTAAGGAGAAGGGTAAAAACTTCAAGAACTTTTACCATTGAATACATAGGCCTATAATTATGACTATCTTATCTTCTTAAGGTTATTTTGAGATGATTTCGGGGCTTAGCGTCTCTGTGGCCCGGTCCTCGACCAGGTCTCCTTTTTGTTACTCATCCCCAGGAAACAGCTGTCTAACTCCCAGGTACTTATTTACTGCTTAGTAACAGGAGCATCAGGGTGAAAGAAACATTTTGCCCATTTGTCTGCCTCCACCGGGGATTGAACCTGGAACCTCAGGACTACGAATCTGAAGCGCTGTCTACTCAGCTGTCAGGCGCCCGACTATATGGACTATTATGGCCTGTTAAAAAAGAGAGGGGGAAGCAGGGGTTCAAGACCTCTTCCAGTTACACAATTTAGCTGTGTGTAACAGTAAGTAAGTATCAAAAGAAGGCA